GATTAAAATAATAGTTAAAACAAACAGTAATAATTCATAATAATAATAATTGTAAAGAAATAATTTAAATTACTTTGAATTGCATTAACCGTTATAAATATATAATATTAGTGCAATAAAAAAATGATTATGTAACAGGATAGACATCCCTGTGTGCAAAATATTTTCTCATAGAGATAACATATTAGTCACATTTATAAAAACAAACCCGTTAAAATTTAAAGCACCTACAACAATAACATAAATATGATATTATATGTCATACCAATTTAAAATGTAATTTATAATATTGAATGTGTGATATTATCTATTATATGTATGATGTTTAGGTAGTATTGCGTATTATTGTATTCATTATTTCATTCATCATTTTATTTTTTTTAATTGACTTTTAATGTACAATTGTGTATCAGTTATTACTTATTAATACGTCGTGGCTTAAGTTCATCAAATCATTGTAAACATAATTTTTGTATCTAATTACGAATTGGTTTCTGTGAAAATAATGAATGTAATGTGTATAATAAATCCTATACTTCTAAACTGAGCACGCCATTCTACTGAACACGCCATATCGAATACGAAACAATATGTAGCCATGTAGGTATATGCAATAAGTTAACAATAACTTCCAAATTAGTTTTCATAAACGGCATACTATAGGCGTATAAGTATACCTGTCTTATAATCGTAAACAATTTAATATGAATGTAGTTGACGAATGATTATATTATATTGTTTATTGCTCAAACAAATTTTAGCTAAGTTAAAAATATATTTCGACCGAACGGTTTAGGAATTTGTGGAAACGTTAGGGTGGGTTTCCATTACATACGTGTTACTGCATAAAAATACTTTTCTGTAATTGATCGGTTTATAATATGGTAAGCTTTTGGTATACCAGAGTGTTTATATGTTCTTCCTATGGTTCTAACCATACATACCAATGATACCATTGAGTAAATAATGTACAAAAGCTCTTTCAAGCAATCGCAGACCACAGTGGTATTCTACACCTATAAATCAACTAAATAGCTAGTTATAACAACATGTATTGATAGTTATTAATTAAGCTGTTAAAATATTTCAGATCATGATCAATGGCCTAAACTTGTAGTACATCAAAAAACATCCAACTAAATAACACCGATTCTCAAAATTACAATTCTAATGATATTTTTGAATAATTTAACATAGTTAAGTTACGGTATTTAGATAAACGTTCCATTTAAGTTAATTTGACTGACAAATACAGTTAACTTCAATTCGAATGGTCAAGAACATAGTAGAGTTAAAACAACTATCCCATTTCTATGTGTGCACGCACATTTATAACCATATGCTACCACGAAGTTGGATCTATAGTTCAACTATTTCGTGACATGGTTCTATATCAGCTAATATATAAGGTAGGTAACTAATTTGTTACCAATCCTAACCCATCTTAACCGATGGCAAACGTTCATAGTGTACGGATCCGGTCAGTAAATGCACGTACACGTGAACGTATGTAGTGGTACATTTAGTCGGAGGCTACATAATATTAAAGGCACATTATCGTTATTGATACATTTGACTATTTGACAATAGCACAATAGGTACATGGGAACATATTGTATTCATTAGTATAAATTACACACAATATGACTCATTCACGAGTATTGACTATATAATATTGAAGTACCTATATTATTAGTATTAATTATTATTACTATATGAGCTGTACAAGATTATAATGCGACTGATGTTTACCCACACAACTGTATATTACATCGGTAAATTATTATTATTAATGAATTATCTAAAACTATAGTAATTATTATATTACTTATACGGTTGTGCAATTAATACTGATTAGTACCTCAAGTCTAAACTATATCGTAGGTGCTGTAGGCAGTGCAAGTTGTTTTGCATCAAATGGACCTATTAGATTTATATAATATTATACCAACGCCTAGGTTTTATAATAGCCATTTGTTTTTAATTGATGTTATATAAATTAACATAAAAATATTTAATTATCAAGTTTTAGAAAATTGTGTATTTCAAAAATAAATAATTTCCAAGTTTTCAAAAATAAATTCCTATTACCATTGATTATAAAATATATAGAATATAAACTATAGTATTTATAATCAATGCTTTATATTACCTATTAAACATTACGAGTGTACGTCGTATAGTTCAACTGCACAATATAAATATGTAGGTTAGGTACCTACAATTTTACAATTTAAAATTTATTATTATAATATCATTGGAATAGAAGTTCGATAAAAATAAATTTTTTAATCAAATCATAATAGAAAAAAATCGCCTAATACGTCTTGCAGTTCAAGACAAATACAAGTATTGACAGAGTTTCATAAATGTATACTATTACACATTATACTTAGGTTCACTCGTACTATGATAGTTATGGCAAAGTTGCACACGACGGTTATTCTTTCGTACACTTCTTCCTGAGTATTGCTAGATATGTTATACAGTATTTCTAATCGTTATATATTTATTTTAATTGTGTACACTTTGCTTAGTGAATAGTAAGAAATGTACCAATAATCATTGATAATAAAACATTTGATAAAGTCGTCTAATTTTCGAGATGTTCCAGTCAAACCAAAAAATCCTACCTACTGTAGGTACAATATGTCAATATATAATACAATCGTACCACAGTCGGTGGTCCATAATACATTAATACTATATGTAGCCGACAGGATAGGCACACATAAAATACGTGGATATTGGATAATAGATAAATTGAGACGCTAAACGCGGTTCAATTAATCAAAAAATTGTATAGAAATATAGTAGGTACGTCTAAATGCATGAGATAAAAGGTCGAACGATCATAATAATATTATATCGATAGGTACTATTATATATGAACGACCGTCACGACGGAAGCGCACCCGATGGCTGAAAGCGCCTGTGTACAATATATTACAATACTATTATGCTTTTGATTTCCTATATTACATATTATTATATTATTCTTCGGGATCGTCGGATGTACATTATAATAATGCATACGCACGTCCGTGTTTACAGTGTACATCGATATAAAAATCTTTGAGATAGATGTGATGAAAAATGTATGAAGGTCGTGTTCGGCACGATTTAATTGGCCCTGGAGCAGTTAACGCCGCGCACAAAGCACACAATAATATCATAGCACTACTATAGTACTCGGCAGCGTGGAATACGTATATATAATATTGCTATACAATTGTCACATGCCGATTTTTAGACGTATTCAAATTTAAATATACGTATGAGAAAAACAATTACATATTATATATACACTCACATAACGCCGGCGCGTAGTTAATAATTGTATACATCATCACCATCGTGTTATTATTATTGGCTTCGTCATCCGGACCATGCCCTATTTTGCCGGTATATCGTTTGTACAACGGATTTAGTGGTACACTTACTACGACTTACGAGCACCTTATTACGACGGAAAGGTGTTGCTGGTGTTCAGGGCCGTCCCTAGGGCAGGGCGAGCGGGGCCCTCGCCTTGGGCCCCGCGCCTTCGCCAGTTGGACAGTCCCCGCTTTTGTAGATACCATAAAAAAGCAAAGTTAATGAGGAAAAAAAATTATTATTTATATATTTTTATATCCTTAATTGCTGTAATTTTTACTACCTATACCTACGGCTATACCTACTTATATTAATTGACATCAGTCGTCAAATAAATGTATTGCATTTAAAACGAGTTAATATGTTTATAATTCAATTTTCAAAGTTGAAAATGATAAAAATTTACGTTGAGCAGTTCATGTTTAGTGTATATTATATTAACAGTGATTGAAGGTATCACTATAGTGCCCGACGCCCGTATAAACAGTATTAAAAGTAATAATATGTAATATACATATTATATTAGAAGTTATAAAACTACATGGAGAGGTGTCCGTCATGCGAAGACTTACGATCGCAAACTGGTCAAATTCAGCTCCAGTGCGTACCAACGATTACCTATAAACTGCGAACCTTTATCTGACTACGTCCAACAATTTTGTAATGAAAGTTGTAATCCAGGCCTTACATTATTAATAAAAGTTTTATTTAGGTTTTAATAGACATAATATACGTAACAGTATTATACAGTAACTTGTTCAAATTTATTTTTCTCTGGGTAATCAGGGTCTTAAAAAAATGTATAACGTTTTTTATTATAAAATGAGTATTTTTTTACCTAGTTAATGAAACACAAGCAGCATTAACTTCGTCTATCAACGTAGTAGCGGGTATTCCTTTGTTTTTTTTTTTTTTTATCGTATTCATTATAGAAAATAAACTTTTACTTCCTATACTGTACGTCTGTATACTTATATTTACGTGAATATTAGGTGTATCTATAGTGTATTCGAATGAGCCACTTTTTTTTAAAGTAAGTACCTATAAAATATGTCTGGAAATGACTACCAAACTTTTAAAATTTCATAATTAGTAACATATTGTTTAGAAATTATAAGAATTGTTTACATTAAATGAAATATTTTCACGTGCAATTCAAATTTGACTTATCCAGTATCCGTTCCATAAGTTCGACACCTCTGAGCCTATATCTATAGCAAATAAGTATATGATATAAATATACAATATAGTTATAAGTCCATCGTGGTATAAAGTTGCACAGCTGTATAGCAGTCTACGTATTTTTGTTTACGTACACAAATCTAAACTGTAGTACCTATATTTATACAAACATCGAAACAAAAATGTCTGATTCATAATTATTTATTTTTAATTTTTAATTCTTATTTTAAAATCAAAAAAATAACTTATATCACCTATTGTTTTTATCTTATAATAATCAGGTACATAATAGTACATTTTGGAAAATAAAACCATACGATCTGAAAATTAAATCTTAATGTAACATAATTACTAATTAATTTTACGAGCCTTAGCAATTATAGATAGTCACGTTCATAAACAAAATATAAATGTAATGATTTTATAAGGGACAAAATATGATATTACAACGGTGTGTTGGACCGGATGTGGAGTGGATTGAAACTTGGAATCATTGGATTCTGTAACACCTTGAACCCGGGCGTCTTCAAAGTCGGTTTGATGTCCTAATAATATATAGAAAACCAACACCAAGCATTAGAATATCGATAACGTAATAATTATTTAATTAAATATTATTTGGCGTTATTCAAATACCATGGCACCAACTGTTTGTACTCGAAACTACTAAATAATATAGGCATTACAAGAATTAATTGTGAAAAAATTGTAATTATGCGTACCTAATTATTTTTAGAAGTTACACATGCGACATCATTGTTGAGTCGAAGGAAAACTATCCGTATATATGTATGGTAGTTAAAGAGCACAAGGTTGGGTCATAAGTAGATTAACGCGTGGTGGTTGCTTGAAATGGGAAAAATAAACAATGGAAAACATAAGTGGTGTACTGCAGTAGTGAAGCTAGCATGTGAACATGTATTATTATTATGGAGGACAGAATGATAGGTTAATATTATTGTGTATTGTTTTTAATTTAGAAAAAAAACAACTGTAATTTACTTAAAATAACGAATGCAGCAAACGGATTAACTTAAAAAAAATATGAATACGATCCGTGATCTAAAAACTAATACATATTATATTTTATTTTGATATCATAACGTATAATATAATACTCCATTGCTGTCGGAAACTCGGACAAAATAAAAAAAATGCAATACATTATACTCTCTGGAAATGATAATATGCCAATTGGGAGAAAACGATAAAAAGAAAATCATAAAATACCTATATAAACTGCGGATATGGAACAACTGCAGAACCTGATTTTCGAACAAGGTTAGACGAATCAGGGTCTGATGTAACGTGCGAAGATTTCAATTATTGTATATTTTACGACTTAGCGGTCCGCAAATGTTTCCGAAAAAAAACTATTAAAAAAAACTTAATTGCTACATACGTCACGATCTGCATCACGACCTACAGCACAATACTTACAGCCAAAAAAAATAGCAACTCGCATATACGAACATCGCTTACCAATGATTGTGGTGGTTCTTCCTTTTCGCATCCAGCCGGTTTCCCATACACTTTCAGCGACTTATCTCTGTTGACACTGGTCCAGTTGGACACTATGTTGTACATGGCGATTTTCTCCTCGTCGGATGAGTACTCAATGTCCTCCAACACGCGCAAGAACATTTCGTGCAGGTAGGTCGTTATCTTGGCGTCTTTGTGATTTTTCCCCACGTAATAGTTGTTGAAAACACGGTACAGGAAATAATACACCTTCCTAGAACGACAACGGTACCAAAATCATATTTCATCCCCTGCGAAATACGTAAAATCTGTAGAATATTGTACATTTATTTGGTAAAATTCGTCGATATACATACTGCATCGGAGTTCGGGAAAATATTCTGTTTGCAGTTTAGGGGGTGAAATGTATCCCGAAAAAAAAGTTGTAACTACATGAGTAACAAATCTTCCAAAATAAAAATATCGACGAATCAATATGTTTAACGAACGAAAATCGCCGCTCGTGCTTCAGTAGCTTATTTCATTACACTATACATCTGTAATCCTAGTACTATACTACTACTATATCCTAAAAATACTTTTTAAACGGTTCAAAAAATATATTATATTAACTATATTGCTTTGATATAATATATTTTTTTTTTTATAAAAAGCTTCTCCATTCAGAGCTATAAACTTTAAATACCATCATAAAGAAAAGAGCATATTTTGTTCAATATTCGAAATTAGTAAATCAGCAATTTCAAAAAAAAAGCGGGTAAATTAATGAGTCGCTCTGTACATATGTACAGTAAATTATACAAGTGGGAAACTGTAATGGATGGTGTTAAATTTGAAATCAAATGATATAATATCATATTGTATACAAATTTGAAATACGTTTTTTAAACTTTGTACATGGTTTGTCAGCCTATAGAATATTTTATATCTATATTATTATTACCTATTAATACGGTAGACGGTGAAGTTGAATTATTATTATTTGTTTGTTATCATATTTCTGTATAATAATATACTTAAAAAGTTGTTACATTGTAAAATAAATACATTCATCGTTCCGCTCAGAATTTCAAAAACCCCTCTTAAATACAGATCAACATTTTTCTTATGAATTCTTTTCTCGACTGTACAATGGCCCTATACTCCTATCAGTAAATATGTGTAAGGTACACACTATATATAATAATAATATGTGTGTACTACTCACCTGAAGTCTATAACGTTGTTTGAGGCGTCCGGGACCGTCTTCGGAGGCGGCGTACACTCAGACATGATCAGAAACGCGCTGGAAAAAAGTTTGAACTTGTCAAACTGGGACGGTTGCTTGTTGTAGAACGTCTCCAGGTAGTCCATCCACTTGACCATCACGTCCTTGGGCTTGGTGCCGCCGGCCAGGAACAAGTCGTTCATCTCATTGAGATTGACGAACCGCATGACTTTCATGTCCGCGCACTGGGCCTCCTTCCGGCATTCCATCCCGAGCTGGCGCAACTTGAACTGCACCTGTTTGTACTTTTTGGTGGGCACGCGTGCGGCGATCCGAGCCGGGTTATATATGCCATACATGTCGATGGCTTCGGCCAGCTGGAGCTTTTCCTCTTCCGTCCAGACATCGAGCTGCGGGCCGCCGGGCTGCCGGGCAAAACAAAGTCGTAAATAAGAGATGAATAATATTTGTTTATAGTTATTATAGGTATTGGGTTTGGCCGTATAGTTGATGTGTAGCGTTATATATAGGTACTCAAAAACCACGACGCTAGAATAAGCCTTGCAAATCATTATTTTATACGCGGCGTATAGACGAATTTATTGTTTATGTGGGTTATGTAGGTGTAATACATAAAAAAAGGAATGGGTGAAAATTTAAGGGCGAATGAAGCGAGGTGTCAAACATAATAGGCTTAACGTGTGTTTGTATAAGAACGTAATAGCAATAATATGCGTATGTATAGGTACAATAGGGATAGGTAGTAGGTATATCATGTCATATATTTTGTATACTTGCTACGCAGTTGGCGGGCCTTATATATGGGGGTGTGACGTTGGCTCACCGATTTTGGGAAACTGATATAGTGATATTTGATATTAGTATATTATAGAAAGTTTTAGAATAAGTTTTATAATATAAATGCTATATTTTGTATTATTTATATCATAATATATATAATTTATGTTTATATATATTTTAAATTGTTCAGAACATAATATTTAGCACATTTTAAAAGCACTTTTTTTGACAGCTGTTCATACCTACGTAATGCATTAAATTCTCATCCCTGCAGCCTTCTGCAGGTGATAAATCTTACAATGGAATGAAGAATATTATACCTACGTGTGAGTCGTGATGTTAATAGGTTTGGTAACATACATTTTCATGGCCGTGTGCAATCGCTGTGATAATGTGTAGTATCATTAAAATTCTACAAAAATCTTAAAGTATATAATATAGGTACACAGTAGGTACTACTACCTATACACAGCGGTGGCAATACGATTCGAACGTTATCAGGTTTATAGCGGTTTACGAAACGCTCAAAACGTAAATTATATGATTAAGCAACAGAACGAACGTCGCAAGTCGCAAGAGGAAAAATGTGCTTAATTTAATATATTATGTAGTGGGTAACAATCACAATAATAAAGAACGCATATTATGTGTATAGCAAATTTATTAGCGATTCGTACGTCAAATTTTATGCGCAAACAAAATTTGAACTTAGCGAATAAAACGATATTAGATACGGTCGAAAACGGGTGCGGCAAAATGTGTCGTAAAAACTACGATAATAACAATAAATACCCAAGCACGGGACATCACAGACGACACCTTAGACTATTATAATTATTACCATCTTTAACTTACCAATTTTATTCGTAAGTACAATGCTGCGGTCGTCGTGCATCACGGTTGTCAGCCTTTTCGAATTGAGATTTAATACGAATAATAAATAATAACGAAAAAGACCACATCGTTTGCGCAATTATGTAACTCGTAAAGGTCTTACGGATCAGTGGCGAAACTATATAAAATATTAGCCCAACACAAAGGTCCAAAAGAAATTGTAGTTTTAAACCTAACTATACTATACGACTCTGTCCAGCGAGAGAAAGCGCCGATTCTGCGCATCCCCTGCATCCCTTTGCTACCATTATTATATTCACTATCTATATCTTGTGACTTGTTAAGTTTAATTTTATAAAATTAAAAAAATATATAACTACCTATTTAAATACATTTTATAATCATTTGTTGGTGCCAACAATTCAAAACACAATTATTTTATATGTATATAAATACAACAAATTAGTATAGAAGTATAGTTTATTATTACGCTATCTATGAAAATACATATTATATAATATATATATTATGATAAATGAAAAAAAATGTACCGATTTCATTTAGGAAACGATCGTAAAATTTAACGACATTGATGTAGGTATACGTGTATAACACTCGAGGACTCGTCATGCACAAACCATAATTCATCATAACAATAATTATTATTATTATTACGAAATAATACTATTAAATTGTCTTGTTTATTTTAGTTTATACGTTTCCGGTATGTAGGCGTCTAAAAAAACTGTCATCAATGAATCCCCCTAAAAATGCATTCAAACAGCTCTAAAGTATGGGTTATAAACTTATAACTTATAGGAACTGTTGAAAATCCAAACGTGCCGATTTCGGATAAAACAATAATACTTTAAAGCGTACCTACGTATAATATATCTACATATTAACGTATACGGCACAACATGTTACATATTGTATCAGTCGATGAAAGTTTGGTAGGCACCTATTGATTTCTAGACACTGACCAAAAGCCTTATCGAAACTCTAATAATTGTACGGAGATTTCAATACAATATTATTATGTGCATTGTACATTATAGTAAAATAAAAATAATAGTTATTCTGAAAACAAAAATAAATAATAATAGATAGGTATTAATGATATTGACCATTGTGTATAGGTAATAATTATTATTGTAGACTGCTGACTGAGCACGACGAATTGCCTATCCAATACTCCCGAGAACCGAGATCTCGGACATCGGTAAAATACAATATTGTGCAATTTTCCGACATTTCACCACAATCACGCTCCAGCCATCCTATGTAAGAATGTCAAAATAAGCCACGTTGTTATCATCGACATTAATGACATTCTATAAAGGTGGAACGAACAAAGGGCGAGTTTGTAGCAATCACGACAATAACATGTAACCTGTGAAGCATAACGTAACGCCTAAAACGATACTGATATGTCTCGGCAATATTTTTTATTAGTACATATTTACCTTAAAAAAAAACTGTTCAAAAATATAAAAAAAGATTATCGACAAAAACAACGTCACCCGCGTCACGATATTGTAATTGTATTTGACTTGTTCAAGTGGCAATCGCACGTGTAGGTACTATTGCTCGCGACTAATAATTAATACAATAATCATTTAATGCCTGCGTGCTTGTACGTGTTCAACTTGTCGGTCGTTATAATATTTTCATTCTTATTTAGAACGACATAAAAACACAATAGTCTACTACGTTTTGAATAGTCTATATTGATACAGATTGACTTTTCGAGCAGTTCGCTTTCGAGCGTAATATTTATGTCTATACGTGAGTACGAGTAAAACCAACCAATAATTGTTTCAATAAAAGATAACATCAATTGGATTCAAACGACTATTTTCAATAGAGCACCCAGAGTATTTAAATAATATTCCTACACAAATTGTATATCACTACAATTACGGGAACAATTTAGGGATGCTTAGCACACTCAGTTCTGAATCAAAACTATAATAATTTACGCCATTCAACGTTGATCAGTTCTTAATTAATTTAGTATAATTAACATGTACAGTACAAAGATTTATTAAACAAGTGATTATTGACAGAGGGGGGTTGGGCGAAGTTTTTCACTGCATAATCCAAGGATATAACTAATAATTATTACATAAGACTGAAAAATTGGGGGTTAGCAATACCAATTTTTTTGAATGAATTGCCCCGCTGACTAGAATGGTTTATTCAATACTAATTACTATATACAAATTACAAAGTCAAAACACATTTTTGGGTAGACACAACAGTAATTAGATGCTTATTGTTTATGTTTAAATAAAATAAAAACAGTTCCATTGTATAGTGTTCAATGATAAATACATTAATTTTTTTATTTATTTTATTCATGTTAGGTAGGTAATATTGATTTTGAATTTTAATACAATGTTAATATTATTACTATTGCCACGCCAATAGTAATTAAAATTATTGCACAATATACAAATAAAAATTGACTAATAAATGAAAATTACCGTGATTCCAGTTTATATAAGTAAGTAATTCATGCATAGTAATCACTAATCATATACAACATGAAGTGTCCTAAGATGATTTGCATTTTATTTGGAGATTTCGATTTCTGAATATTAATAGTGCTACTTTTATTGAGGAAAACCCTAAGTATAAAAAGTTTAAAACTTAAAAGAAAATACAAACAAATTGAATGAAATATTTTATTTAAATTGAAATCATACATAATATAAACAAAAGTGTGTAGGTACCTACTTCTTTTTTTATTATACATAAGTTATAATAACTTATATTGAGTATAATATTTTTTCAATCATAACGTTTTATTTAATCGGTTTAAAAAAAAAATATGAAAATTGTAATAACATTTAAATTTGTTAAGCTTTTAATTTAAAATTCAATATAATTCTGTACAAATTTTGTATTACAATAAAAAATATTACGACTGACATTTATACATACATCATGAAATTACAACTAATTTAATAATATTATTTGCTGGAAGAACCACCTTTTTATGGGCATTATTAATAAGTAAAACAAAAGTTGTTGCTGTAATACATTACTAAGAAAATTAAAATTAAAAAAGTCACCATTACTTGAAAGTACATCAAAATAAGTTTTAATTTGTTTTCTATTTTATACAAAATACTATTAATCATATTACGAGAGCATTATCACAATTTACAATCAGTGGTACAAGGTAAAAAAAATTAAGGTCTAGCATACAATAAACATGCTTACAAACTTATATATTTTGGTTATAAGATGGACACTACAATACAAAAAGAAAAAAAATCTATGAATAATTGTAAAGAAATACAATATGAAGTTTTTTTTTTTTATTATACTTTTAATGTTTTTCAATGATGGTACCATGAATAAGAATCAATTTGTACCAATAATTATGGTAAAAACACTGTTCGGCCAGGTAAATTAAGTAAAAAAAAGGAGGACAAACAATGTAAAATTGGTTTTAAATCTCTGATATTGAATTTAGGTTATTTTGTTTCATTCAAATTTTAAAATATGTACTCTGGTCCAGCCATGTCAATGGCCCATCTAAACTTGTCTCTTTGCGTTTTATTGTATATCTTCTCAATAGGAACGTTGAACTTTTTGCACCAAGCTACTGATATACGCGGATCTAAATAGTTCAATTTGGACGTACCCAAAGCAATTGTCTTGTTTTCTTCCTTGTCAGTTTCTTGAACTTCTAATTTAGTCAATTGTTCCTTTAATCGTTCTAAAGCTTTTTTCCTTTTTTCTAACTGAGCCTTGGAATGCACACTGCCGTCTTTTACATCTCGTTTGGCTTGTTTATATTGATCCTTAGCTTCCTTTACAGCCGCTCTTTTAGTTTGAATCTTTTCCTTTAAGTTTCCCATTGACTTTTCGTGTGTTTTTGGTATAGCACGTTGATGGTTACACAAAATAGCAACTGCACGATTCGCTCGATTATATTGTAAGATTTTCTCCGCAACAGACACGTTTGGATCAGTTAATTTTTCTAGTTGTTGTTGAAGGGTCCATGAAGCATTGAAAGTACGGAAAACTTTTGCAGTAAGTCCATCCATAAGTTCATGCAAGTGTTGATTCAATATTGATGTGTTCAAACGATCAAATAAATCATCACTACCTTTTTTATTTTCCATAAATATCTTCAAGTTTTTGAAAACTCTTTTTTCTACAGGTACTTCGTTGTAATATCTAATGGAATCTTTACCAAGGAAATCAAATACAACTACATATTCTTTGTCATTAAATTCTTCATGTAATTGTATGTGTTCCACACGTAAAGAGCAACAACCAACAGTATCAGCTTGGTCTTCATCTTTTTCATTTCCTGCTCTCAATGCCAATTTATCAATGAAATACAAAGCAACTGACCTTTGTCGTACATGCATTTCACGAGATTTCCAGTCATTAATATAATTTTCTCTTATCTTATCAATTGATTTTGCTAATCTTCTAGCAGTCTCGTACTTTTGCCAATCTTTTTCACCCTTAAGTTTAGAAGATGGATTTAACATAACATATTTAACTTGACCTTGAACGTTTTCTATCCAGCTAGCAAGCCATGTGACACCAAAGTCATGTCTGACTTCTTTCCATTTGTGACCAGGAGGAGGTTTAGGTATATTAGAATCTTTACTACAATTAATTAAGACATCTTCGGGTACTACTCGTTTTTTTAACATACCCATCTTAGGATGTTCACCTCGTCCTCTAAATAAACCAGGTGGTTCTATTTTGAAATTACCAATCTTTTCTTTATGACCATCAATAGTACAAAACCCATACTCTTTTTGCAAAGCTTCGTTTTCTTCTTTTATTTTCTTTTTTTCCTCTTTACTCATAGCTTTACGTTCCTCTGATTTTTTAGTAAAATATACATTCATCTCTTTAAAGTTACATAATGAAAGATCAGTTATTAAATCCTTTTCTTTGGGTGTCATAGTTTTGCGCCAGTCTTTGAGAAAGTTCTTATTAAATACTTCTTTTGTTGTATAATCATGTTCAAGCATTTTAGCATAGAATGTCGCTACTTCTTCTGCCAACTCAGAAAGAACTACTTGCTTACCATTATAATAGAATTTAACATTACTCGGTAAAGGTTCATACGCTGGAGCAAATACAGGTCCTTTATGTTCCAAAAACTTCCATTTAACACCATCATCTTTTTTCTCTTCTTCCCACCATTTCCATACTTCTTGCGGTTCTTCTTCCTTCTTTTTCTTTGTTGTACCTTTAACGGGACTTTCTTTTTGAGATGAATTATTTTCTTTTTTTACCTTATGTTTAGAATCTCTAGATGAATGATTTCTATCCTTTTCTTTATGTTTACTCTTATGTTCTTTATCTTTTTTATGTTTTTTATGACTGCTGTTGTGTTCTTTTTTAATATGCTTTGTTCGAGCGCTCAGAGGAACGTCATCTTCACTACTGCCAGAATGTTTGCGTTTTCTATTTGATAAAGGTATGTCATCATCATCAGACGCTACTTCTTCCTTAATAGAAAAATCATCATCACTTTGTTTCCTCTTGTGGCTGGACATATTAAAGTCACCATCATCAGAGAAATTTTCATTCTTAATACTATGATTTAATTTGTAATCTCTTTTAATCTGGGAATGATAACCTGAATCATAGGGCTCATCTTTGTATTCTCGTTTAATTTCTTTCTTAACACCATTTTTTTCATGTTCCTGTGGAAAAAAAAAAGAACCATTTAAAATAATATTTTAAGAATGTCATAGGCCCTTTTTATCAAATTATAATTTTATAACCGAACCAAAAAGTATACTATGTGTATATAGAAAAAAAAAATGATAAAGCCATAACTTAAAAAGGAATTATTAAGTAAAGAATAAAAAGTTTATGATCAATAATAATAATTAAACAGTGATAGACAAAAAAAGGCCTTGTGTACATTATTTAAAAATGTTACCTTTGATTTATATAAAAACCTCATGTACACCTATTCAACTTGATCGGTGTTCAACTGAATAGACATGAATCACTCATAAGAAAATTGAGATGATTGTATGTTGATGTTGAGAAACAAAAATCAAAAGATAATATATAAAAATCTTGAAATAACCAAACACTTGTGAGGACTAAAACACTAACAATGATAATTGATAACTGTTTATAAAACAAAAAAATTAAATATTAGGCTGATAACCTCTTATTTACAGCCAAATTAATGATAATAACAGTAGTTGAATAGGCGTATATGGAGTAGGCATATTGATTTAGTATTATTTTTAATTTTATCATACCTACACAATTAACTTACGTACTGTTGAAAAAAAACCCAAAGTGTAACCATATGATATGTTTACAGTAACTAAATATCTATTAATTTATAACATGGTTCCACAACAGTTTAAATTAATTTAAAACACCAATATTATATTGCATATTATTGACCAAATTACCAATAAATAATGGATTCCTATTTCATGATTAAGCAACTACAAAATAATTATGGGTTCATTAAATGAAATACTAATGAATATTGGTAAACCAGGCATAGTATTTAGAAAGTCAGTCATAGGCTCATTAACAAAGTTTCATACAATTTCAAATGTTAATTTTCATCAATATTATGAGTTAAAATTAAACTATTCAACTAATAGGGGATGAAAATAAAAAAATAATATAAATAATAAACACAAAAGTGTGTTTTATCAAAACTAAAAAGATGATTTATTGTATGTTAAAATGACACTCAAGTTTGTACAATAATTTCAGTAGAACACACAAAAAAAAAAATAGATTTTTTAAAAAATAAGCGGTACCAATAATTAAAATGTTTGTTAAAAACAGGAATAAAATGAAAAACTATCTAGGAACACCTTACGACTAATTTGTGACAACTGACTAGAAAATATTATTACTAAATGTTGAGATCTAATAGTTAATATAATTAAAACAAAACTAGGTAGTATGAATTGTTCACTCTAATTTCACTCTAATTCATAATAGTCTTTGATAATTTGGTTCACATCAGAAAAAACGTTTTTAAAATCGTTGATATTTGTATTATATTGAATATAATGATGTACAAATGCTTTATGGGAAAAAGCCCGTTTCGCTAATTTTACTACAGAGTTTAAAGCAGAAACATTAGTAGAGTTATTTGACAACACACTTAAATATTTGGAACCCATAAAATGTCTCTGTTGAAACATTTGTGAAAATTTGTGTTCCTCTAGAATATGTTTAGAAAATGATAAAGTATTTAACTTTCCACAAAAATTTAATTTATCAACATCATTGGTAGTATCACCACGATATACAACAAAATTTCCAAAAGACACAGTATGTGATGCATTTAATAAACGTATAGTTTGATTCACAATTGCTTCCCACCTGGGAGTTGATTCATAAGAAGAATATTCTTTTCTATAATTAGGAGATGACATTAATCTTAAAAATTTAAATTTTTGATCATGTACAAGTGACAGAAAATAAGGGAACGTTTGATGTTCTACTGGTTGAAAAATAGATATTAATTGTTTGGTGGCTATTTGATTCAAATCATCAAATGAAACTTTGACCTCTGAATGTCCAGCTTGACAAACTTCTTGTAAAACAGAATTTTCAAATGAAAAAATACAATCTGAAATACTATACAATTTGCTAATAGTAAATGAAGTATTATAATTTTGGATAGCATCTTTAGACTGATATGGCATGATAAAGACTACAATAAAAGAAATTTTAGGAAAATCCTGTTTTAATTTTTCAAGTATAAAACATGCTGATCCAGCACAACCACCTGAAGGTGATAATATTATTAAAAAATATTCAATTTTATCAATTTTATTTATTTCAAATCTCAATCGACTAGAAACATCTTCAAACATTTCAGGACCTTTGACATAATAGCAGTATGACCAGTTATTTGTTGTTCCTTCAATAAAATTAAATCCTAATGCATTTTTTCCAAATCCCCAATTACAATTTTTTGATTTTATTAAGGTTTCATCAATATTCGGAGCTCCTATATCTATTAAAACTGACCTGGGTTCCAAATAACCACTAGATTTTAATTCAAAGAAATAAGACTCACTTATATGTTTATACTCTTCGTTAACGTGTTGAGTAACAATAGGATCAAAAGCGTTTATGTCATTAAAAATAGTGGAATAAAGACTATGTGTAAAACGTATACCACAAGTACCAAAACAAATAGTTAGAACAGACATAATTTCGTTAAATTAATAAATAATATATTGATAAAAAAAAAAAAACATTTTTTAGTAACTAACCCTATCACGCTTCTTTGATTTTTCATGTTTCCGATCACTGGACTCACGATCTTCTGCAAAAAACAATAAAAATAACAATTAAATTGAGATAGGTAAGAAAAATGTATTACAGAAATTATTGATAGATTACAAATGAATATACTTAACATGGAAATAATACCTAATATATATCCTGTGTCCGCGAAAACTGGGTACACCGTATAATTAAATTACCCTTCTACTCAGTACCTAATAAATATTTTGGAATTCTATTTCGGGACATGAAACTAGACTATTGGATCATCAATCTCCCGCAGACAGAATTCTAAAATATGTATAGGGTACCGAGTAATGTAGGTAACTGAGTTATAGAGTGTACACAACCCAGTTTTCGCGATCACATGATTTATTGTGATACGCAAGCACTTTTTTGTTGTTGTACCAATAATGAGACCTAATGCTTATATACCTAAATAATAGGGTAAAAATAGATATATTGTAGAGTAGAATAAAAGATTTACACAAAAAAAAATGTACCCCCATAACATTATATTATTACCACTAATGACGTCAAGGATGGTAAAATATAAAAATTGGAATATACCAGTAGCACCATCTGTCAAAAAAGATAATATTTTACCGGGAGAATTCAGGTAATATAAATTCATTTTTAGTTTGATGAACTAATATCTTCTTGGGTTTCCATCTAACTAGTTGAACCCGAGCTAGTAACTACCTAACTTATATATTTGGTGGATATAGTAGATGCCAATACCTAACAAAAATACCTGGTGAAATTTATTATTTACAACAATTTGGTTTTAATAATTATTACCAATAATAAAATAATGATAATAGATACTCAATAAATAAATAATAAGTACCTAGATATCGGTAATTTTTGAATGATTCTTAAAAATATTTTATTTCTATGGTGCAAATTTTAAAATGAATGTTAGATAAGCTTGTTTCATAAACAACAATATATAAGGTTAAGAATTAAAGTCAAACAAATTATTAAATATGTAGGTAAGTACTATTATTGGTAAGTAGATAATTAATATGGAATGCAAATTAGTACTCACACGCAAATACTGTCTTAACATGTAGGTATTGGCGATTGAAAGCTTATCAATTATGGATCTGTAACGGGGAACTAGTAAAATAACATATAAATGATACACAGTGTCCCCGTTACATCTTATCACTTTCAAATTTCAATCACTAATCATCTAGGTTCTCCTACTCACTGTTATCAAATTAATGAATTATCATATTTAGATATGTAAGTAAGAATTAAAAACCCATCTAAAAGTCCCCACACACTGCAGGGCTGTCATTAAATTTCTATTGTCATGGCTTTACCATCGCGGTGATAGGTGAAATGTGTCCTGCAGCAATTCACTGCCACCACTGCAGTGTGTGGGGACCTTTAAAAAAAGCAAAATCTAAATAAAGAGGTAGGTATATAAAATTACACTTAATAACAATTAATAAAGATAATAGGTAAGCTACTTCTATTTAAAATAATTTAAGGTTGAAAATAGATTAAAATTATGTTGTAGGCAGTGTACCACACCTGTATAATAAAATGGAAAATTGTAACAACGCTTACACAACCGAGTAACAAAACAGTATACAGTAGCATACAAGTATTTTACACTCGTTGATTTGGGCAATCCATTCAATGTCAATAATTGAGTAAGTATATGATGTGAACACGTCAGAGTTTGTCGTTTTGATGCACCAATATAAACACGGCTTAAGATATTTGTATAATATCCTTGACTGGATTGCTTAATCACCGACAAAGTATGAATCACCAAATGTGTGCGTGCAGCACTGATTGTCATTTTGTTTTCCAAATAGATACCAAAGCACATGCGGATGATATATAGGTATCTACATTGGTCATCAACCTCAATCTTAGAGCAAAAGTAACAAAGTTAACATCCCAGATATAAATATTTTAAATTAACAAATACAATGAGCACTAAAACAATCTCATGAGTTGAAAGTATAGGTAGGTACCTACCTCCTAACAACTTAATGTTTTAACAGGGATTTTGAGGTTATGGTTAAATTGTTTTTATAGGTAAGTAGATAATAAAATAAATACTTGTAAGTACTAGGTATAAAATGTTATTATTTTATTTTAACTTACGACAAACAAGAATAAACTAGATATGTTTGCTTAAAAGTTATGATCGAAATTAGTAAGTTACGGTAGGAATGAAGGTTTGAGTGATAGGTAAACCCTGGATATATCTAATGCCAAGCCTAACTCAATTGAAAATAAATAAAGCGTATTCGAAGATGGATCAAGAATTATACACTAAATGTTTAGGTATCCAAATATAATTATCTTGTATTAAATATTGATGTATTCCTCGACAATATCTAATAAGAAGACAGAATTCACCAATTAAAAAAAATGAATCAAAATGAGAACAAAATTTGTAATTCACAAATCACAGCTGATCTGAAGGTAATCAAAACATCTGTAATGATTTAAAAATCTATACCTAAGTACCTACCTAGTTAGTTTACTGATTGACATTTAAAAGTGACAACATTTGATGTTCTGAGCGACCTGTAGGGACTTGGTAATGAGAGTAGCACGTCTAGTCGAATAGTCCATAGATAAATTGATAAAAAATTTGTACCTATGTCTGTCTGCCCGTTAGGTAGACACGTAAAACGGAGTCATGTGCAGTAAATAGGTAAATAAAATGATTACTGTCAACTCTCTGCCGTTCAGCAACACGTTATAGTATGCAAATGTCAACCTATAGAGGTGCCAGGGAGGTACAACAAAATTCAAAAATATTTCAAGCCGGCTACGAACGTTCGTCTGGAACACATTTAAATCGTGTCGGAAAACGGAATGTACAGTATTGAGACGGAAAACGGAAACACGACGGTGGAAACTTCACAGTGAAATTCCTGTGCGAGAGACGGACACGCGATCGGTTCCGGTTTCCGCGACGGCGTATGATATTGTAGTACAGAGTGAAATATTATCGAATAATTACCGGCCATGTTTTCTGCTCACGTGGAAGACGGAACTGAATGTGTGAAGCTGCTGACGTCGCGTTCTACGTGGAATGCAGCCGCTGGTGGTGTAAGACTTGGTCCAATAACTAAGGAAGTCAGGTGGTTATCGTCGACCAGTAAGCCGTAGAATCGAAATTTGCACACAGATCCCGTGGATTCCGCGTCAATAACGGTAATATTAGCACAGTAGTGCGGTGGGTGGTGGTACTCTAAAATAATGATGATAAATTGACGATATTAAGTAGTCCGGTGTAGTCGTGTTGTACTGTCGTGACGGTGGCGGCGAGGTTGAACGATATGTATGAAATATAGTCAAGACGTGTTAGATGCAAAACGACCGAATCGCCGAGCGGGTGGTGGTGGTTCGTCGGGTTTTTAGCAGAGCGGCGTCTGCCGGCCGTAGAGTCATGCGCTGCGGCGATCCCGTCGGTTTTGTCGGACGGAAACCGAACGCATAACAGTCGTGATGACGACGGTCGTCGGTTACGATTTCGGTTGCGGGTTCAAGCAAAACGGCGACGACGGACCACCGACACACGCGCAATGAAACTACACCACCGCCGGTCGGAAACGCCGTGCGCGTAAAAAATAAATCGAAGTCGGGCCGGAGCGGCGTAGCGTCTGAGAGTGTGTGTGTGTGTGTAGTAGTAGTAGTAGTAGTAGTGTACTATAGTGGACGAGTGTGTGCGTGTCGTGGACGATTAGGACTTGCACGAAATTTCACGTTACACACAAGTCACAAGTACACGATGACGATCGGCGGCGGCGTCGGTCGGTGGCGACATAGAGACGGTGCGACCAGTCCACAGCCGCGGCAGAGACGAGTGCATTGACTTTTTTTGTTTGATCATACGATCCGGCAACGCTGCCGCCGCCGCCGCGCAACGTTGCCAAAGCTAAAAAAATAGGCGGCAACTGTGAAATTCGTATTTTACGCGACGTCCGTCCGCCCATCGCCCGCGTCATATTAAATATTATTATTCAGCCAGGGGTTAAAGACTAAAGTGGGGGGTGGACGCAGGAGGACTCAGTCCCCCTACCTCTGACGGTGGTTAAAAAGCGTCCCCTTTCAAATTAGGATTTCACACAATAGACATTAATACATTATACATACAATTATATATGGAACGCTTAAAACTATATGAAGACATTAGTCCCCTCTGGAAATTTTTCCCACTTTAACAACCCCTGTATTCAGCCGTTGACGTTTGCGTACGGAAAGTACGAATTTTACTCTCACGACTTGGGTTCAAGATTTTTAAGGGAGAAATTAGAGTATATCCATGGACCATGAGTGTATCAAGATTTTCAAGAAGAAAAATTCGAAACGTATTGACTGGATCACAGGAATATAGTTACGTACAGCGTAAAAACTCGTATCAAAGTAGTCCGATTCCGATATTGGTCGGTCGACGATACGTATCGCTTGTGTATTTTAAGTGTAACTTCTTGGACGCTGAAAATTTACCCAATACGTATATAATATACACTCCAATTTCTCCCTTGAAAATCTTGTACCTATTTATAGGTTCAATAAGTTACATATTATGCGCAAAGGCGCCCTCATGGGGGGAGGGCCATCCCCCCTCCTCATTTAGATAATGCCTAATTGTATAACCAAAATTGTAATTTTTTTTTAAGAAGTTATATAAAAACAGAAATTAAGTTTAGTGTATTGTTTTTTAGCTGCCCCCCCCCTGTTAAAAATTTCTGCATATGACCTTGCATATGTGCGGTTCACGGTACACCTGAAATCAGCGAAACGTACCGAGTACCGACAACATCGAACTCCGACTTCGATACGGGCCAGTAGTCAGTACGAATCGAATTTTTCTTCTAGAAAATTGTTTACCGTCTTAACTAAAAATCATTTTATCTTTGAAATATTGAAAATCATTGGCATGTGATTAAATTAATACCTATGTATAAAAATATAGATTTAAGAATATTACATGATGACGTTTTCAAATACTCGGTAGTTGGTGGGTTTCTGTCATAGAGTAATATTAGTAATTACCTAATACCACTGCAGACTAATATAGTAATATATGTTATTTCCCTCCGGAAATTTTCCACAGACTGTTTTCGGTGTAATAGGACATGTCCCGTTCCCCCGATATATTTTTGATGCAGACATTTTCCTCCATTTTTTTTTTAAAGCCTTCTATTTAATATGAAATAATTATTTTGCCTATTGTCTAATCTGTATATTATATAAGACAGTAAGCTGATTGACCGCTTTCAACGCATAGCTCAAACCATTGGACGGATTGGACTGAAATTTGGCATACAGATAGCTATTATGGTGTAATCATCCGCTAAGAAAGGATTTTTCGTGATTTTGAATTTAATGGGTTGAAATCGGTAAAAAAAAATTTTTACATGTAATTTGTATATCTATATTCATATAATAATAACAATAGCAATCGACCGATTACGGGAAATACGGTACAGCACCCAGGCCAGAGGGTTTCCATCTACCTGAACTCGGACCTTTTTTTCGTGTGTGTATTTTATCAGCGTGCAGATATGAATTGTTCCGTGGCTATATTATTATTTATGAGTTGTATAGAAAACACCGACTAGCTCAATTATACAAATCTTAATCTTACTTTACAGCGATTATTATAAGCCAGGTTTTTAGCTTTTTACATGTAGGGCCCATGGAGGTATTATTGCGTATTATAATATCGCATCCATTTATTATAATATAATACATCAACTATTTCTTATTGTACATATTATACGATATACATATTCAATCAGTATTATTATTATGCGTCTATAAGCAATGATGGGTTTTTAAGCTATATAATAATAAGAATAAAAAAAGGTGGGCAAGTGGGTGTCGGTCTGCTGTACTGTAGGTTACAAGTGGGTCACTGTATAATGGATGGTATTAAATTTGAATTCAATGATATAATATCATTGTATAAGAAAAACGATTCTGAGCGGTGACGGTATGTCACGGTGTCTATGTATAAGACATATTATATACATATCTATGGTATTAAACAAAAAAATGACCTATAATAAATTCCAAATTAATCATATCACAATATCCATTAGATACTTATAACAGTTATAACGCGTTATACATCAACAAAAACCGTGATACTGTCATAGATATATAATAGTACACTTTAGAAGTTTCAAGTACCCACGAATAATATTATTCAATCACAACAAAATAACTAAAATCGTAATTCTTGGTTTAAATATGAAATTTTGTCTAAATTTGAAATTAAAATGTCTGTAAAAAATAAGTGTGTTTATATATTTTTTAGATTTTTTGGTTACAGTATGAATTATTTAAGAGAATCTTTGTTTTAAATTTTCAACTCTTAGTTATAAAAACTGAACATTTTATAATTTTTTAATTCCAACGATTGATAATTTTCGAGATTTTGATAAATTTTGTCAAAATTCCAACTTTAAATGCTTATAAAAAAAAATCGTGCCTATGTATTTTTAATATTTTTCAACTGATATTGTAACAATATATCAGGAGCCTTGTATTAAATTTTTACACTTTTTGGCCCAACAGATAAAACTTTATTGATATTTATAGAAAAAAAAACTAAAAAAAATTGAAAGCTGTAAATGTCCATAAACAGCTCAAAAAGAGTCAAAATATTTTCAAAATTGTATGGTGTATAGGAAATGCTAATATAAACATTCAGTGAAATTTTCATGTATCTACAGTTATTCGTTTTTGAATTACAACAAAATAAGGAAATCGCTACATGAGAAATCGAGTGAAAATCCAATGTTGTAAAAATTTGAATTTCAAACGCTCATAAAAATTTAATTTGACTGTCCGGTAGAGATTTTTTTATTGATAAAGGTAGATAATCTTATAAGGAATCTTGTGTTTCATTTTCAAATCTTAGATTTAAAAAGAAAAATTTTTACGAATTCTTAACTCAAAATAATTTGCTAATTTTCGTGATTTTTCCATATTTTGTCAATTTTTGAACTTTAAATGCTTATAAAAAAAAATTGTGACTAAGGATTTTTAATATTTTTCATCTGCCTTTGAAACAATATATTAGGAGCCTTCTATTAAATTTTCAAGCTTTCGCAACCAACAAATAAAATTTTATTGATATTTTTAGAAAAAAAACTAAAAAAAAATGGAAAATGAAAATGTCCCTAAACAGTTCAAAATAAATCAAAATATTTTGAAAATGTTATCGTGTATAGAAAATGCAAATATAAACAACCAGTGAAAATTTCATGTATATACGTTCATTTGTTTCAGAGTTACACCAAAAACCAAAATCGATTTTTTGGAAAACCAATTTTGCGTAAAAATTCCCGTTTTTCCTTAATTTTTATGTTGTTTTTCCCGGCGCTTGTGAAAACTACTGGGAAATTTATACTTTTGACCCCCCAAAGTACCAACTAGATTCACTTTCCTATCAGAAAAGCTACTGATGAAGAAAATCGAAGCACTTTTACTGTCCTAAAACGTGATGACAGACACAAAAATAAAAAAAAAAATAAAAAAAAAAATAAAAAAACACACATCATTGTAAAATCAATACATTCATCGTTTCACTCAGAATCTAAAACTACTTGCTTTACTTTTTAAATATAAATTATAATATTATATCCAACTATATAAATGTATAAGATGTCTTGATTTTTTTTTTAAACTAAAGAGTATTTTACGGAGAAGGTTTATATAAAAGAAAATTTGAAAATCCACCGGTTTATAATATATTGGTAGCTATTGGTTAATCAGGCATGTTTGTTGATTTGTATTATTATCTTTTGCCAATATACATATATACATATAATATATACAAAAAGATCTGATAAGTAGTTCCAGAATTTAGTCTGTATAGTTATAGTTTATGTATTTATATAGTTAGAAATATATTATATATATATATGTATATATATAAATTAATGTTTGTGGGTAGATTAGACCTCTGGAAAGAAGATAGGTTAATTTATAAAGGGTTAAATTTGTTTTT